TTTCCCTGCACACAGACCAAGTGCTGCAGCATCCCAGCTATGTGCCTTCCTCCAGGCAACTCTCCACGTGGCAGGGATCTGTGCCCCAGAACTCTCCTCTCCCTGAACCTAGCTAGGATTTTCTGAGCTGAAATTGCCCTTTATTTTCTTCTTACTCTGCTTCAGATTGCTGAGGGTCTCCAGCCGCTGGTGCTCCGGCATCATGGTGTGGCCAGGCGGCGTGTCGGGATCTGGCAGGTTTCGCAGCCGCTCCTCTGTCTGCCTGCGCCACAGCTCCTTCCTCTGCAGCAGGCTGGCGAGGCAAAGGAAAGGACGTGTCAGCACATCTGGCAGGAGATGCAGGCAGCAGCCCGGGACCGAGCACTTCAAACCCCACTGTTCTCCATGTTGCTGCCCGAGGACCACACAGACCCGCCCTGCCGGCACACGTCCTCACCATAGAGGATGCACCTGGGTTTAGCAAACACACTTCATGTGCACTGAAGGGCAGCCAGAAAACACACACTGAGGCCAACATGAGCTCCTCAGAGACAGGGGCTTCTGTTCCTTGCTTCTGGCCCAGGCCATCGAGTCCTCTCAAAACCATCTGTGGGTCAATGAGGGAATGAAGCTGGACCAAGGAGCCCACAGCCAGGGATGGTGGCAGAGAACAGCAGGCGCAGCAGAGAGCAGGAGGACTCACACCATGGTCAGCCCTAGGACAGGGTCACCCAGGAGCCACTGGGGCCACAGAACAAGCCAGCAACTGGATGTTCTCCAGGCTCTGGGTCCAAGGCAGGATGAACACTTGCGAGGCAGAGCAAGCCATCCGCCTCTCCAAAACCAGATCTTTTAACACTGAAGCTACGTCACATGGAGCAAAGCCTACAGACAGGCAGGAGCACATTTCTCAAAGAGCACTGAGCATCCGCACATCAGCATCACTGTATGGCAGCAAGCAGGGGAGGAGGAGAAAAAATTATTTCTGAGCCCAGTGACGCTGGCCATGGGATGCCTGTGAAGTCAAGAAACCAGCAGTGATTGTATTTATTCCCCAGGCCACAGTAAATCACACTGCTCACATATGGCGAGAACGCCTCTGTCCCCAGCCCCCATCTCTCTACACAGAAGCTGGGGGATGTGGTGAAGGTAAGTGGGCTTGTTATAGGAAGTCTCGTGGACTAGAGAGGGACACACATACTACTGGGGGACGAGGCCCTTTTGCTTGGTGTTGTACTCCTCCTGCTCCCGGTGCTTCTGTTCCAGCAGCTCAGACAGCGCCTGCAGGGACTGGGAGCGCCGCAGTGAGGCCCACTTGGCGTTGCGGGCGTTGTGCTTGATGAAGTCAATGCTCTTGCCCTCCACCTGCATCTGAAAGAAGACAGGGAGGCAGCAGGGGCCGGATCAGTACACACAGGCAGCTGTTCTTGTCCCAAGGGACAAAGAAAAGAGGTACCCACACAGGATCCAAAATTACAGGTGCGCTACAACAGGACAGGCATACCCTCAGCCCATCCCATCTCAGAGACAGGAAGAAGCTGTGGCCATGTTTGCAAAAGAAACCAGTGCCAGAAGCCCCTGGTTTGCCTGGCACCAAAAGCCAAGCAAAACCTAAACTCCATCTTTTTGAGGTTCCCAAGCTGACCCCATGCCCTCAAAGCCAGAAGGACAGGAAGAACCAGGTCTGACATAGTCCACATGGCTCCCACTGCTGTGTTTTGAGCCCATCAGAGCAGTCAGAAGGTCACAAGAAAAACTGGTTGGACCCTCACCAGACCAGTAAATGCAACAGAACAGGATCTCAGCTGGTCCTTGGAGGCATTTCCCCACCTCACACCGCCTCAGACAAGGGGAGAAGGTTGCTAGATTTGAGTTTAAGATTTTCTTCTTTTAGTTTTCTCCTTAGGAGTTTATGTCCTGTTTAAATTAAATGACTCAAAGGCATTTGGGAACCAACAGTTCCATGCTAGCCAAAGAGAAAGGACATGAGTCACGGAGCAGTTTAAGACCTTCCCAAAAGAATACCTGAAAGGTTTAACTGTTAATACTGATTTAACCCTCCTTACTAAAAAGCAAAACCATTTCCCAACTTTTTTCTGTAATGTCCAGAAGCCACAGTTCCTTTGGTTAAGGTGGGAGCGGTCTCCAAATCCCCAAGACCTCCTGCAAAGCCCTGGGAAGGGCAGATTTGAGATCATGGCACTTCTGCAGTGAGGAGGTGGGATTTTCAAAGGGAACTTCACAATCTCTTAAGTGCCAGAAACCCCCGGGAGCAGGCAGTTGGTGTGCAACTCACCTTGGCTTCAGCATCCAGCGCCTCTGGAGCTCCTGTGTCTGCCCCAGCTTTCGTTCTGTCAGGTCTTGGGGAGAGCGGTCTGCATGGCTTGATCCCAGGGCCACAGCGAGAATACGCTCTCAGGAATTTCAGAGCCTCTGGATTTGGAGGTGGGGAGCTCTCCTGGGAAAGGCAAGAAAGGATCCATTAGTGGAGGGAGGCTGGAGCAAAGGAAAAGCCACCCAACAAAGCTTGGGTGGTCAACCACAAGCGTGACCGCAAGCTTCCAGCAGCAGATGGCAGCGCGCTCTTTCTGCCATGACTTGGCATGAGTTCCTGGGGGAAGGCAATCTGTCCCGAGCCAGCAAAGGCAAACAGACTGCCTACAGCAACACATCCAGACCTGGCAACCAAACTCTGTAGAGAAACTTAAAAAAAAGGGAAAAAATCTGCAGAAACACACATTTGGATGAAACACATGTGTAGCATTGACTGGAGAGTCAATTTTACTGACTTGTACTCTTACTGACTGACCCTGGCAACACCAGATAAACCAACAGAGAGACCTACCTAGGGACAATCTAAATGGATCGAGAGGCCAAACTGACAATGACCATGCATCCTTAAAAAGCAGAAATCTTCCTGTGAAGAAGGCAAATGACAGCATGGAGTAAGCATGCTGGAAGTTGAGAGACACAGGTCAGTCTCCCTTGTTGGTAGCACCAGAGAATGTGAACTCCCAGAAGCAGCAACCTCCATAAATCCAGAGCATGCTGCAGAGCCCTGCTACAGTAAGCGTGAATGAAACAGCACAGGTAAGCACGAAGCTGACACAAATTCGATGCTGTTCTCAAGTGCTGCTCTGCTCAGCACTCCAAAACTGTGGTCGTTCCTCTTTAGGCAGAAAGAGGAGCGGAGAATGAGGGTGTCTGGAATTGCATCCATGAGGCAGCTGCAAAGGCTGTGGTGACATTGCTTGATGTCTACCAGGCAGTCCCCAAACAAACCCCCAAAACTGGAAGGATACTGTGGCCAGTGGGTGACCTTACAATAAACACAACTGCTGTGCTTTTGGCAGTGGCAAGAACTGTACAGGGCAGCCTCCAGAGCTTTAAGGTACCCACGGTCTCAGCTGAGCTGTGGTCCCCTCAAGGCAGACTCTCTGTTGCACCAAGACTGTCAGAGCCCTTTCCAGGGCAGCTGCTACAATTAACAACCTTGGGGACAGACAAGAGAAAAGAAACTCCACACTGGACACCAAAACCTAAAGGAATCAACTTAACCTCTGAGCAGCAGCTCCACAGAAGATGGAGATCCTTCACAGGGACCCCCCAGCTCCAGAAGAGCCACGGCAAGAGTTAAGCAGTGTGAGTCAGCACCAGGGCCTCCCGCCACCTCTCTCACAAGTAACGCACCACACAGAAACTGCCTGCACAGAGACCACCCCCTTCCCCCGAAACAAAAGAAGAAATTATCTCTATCTTCCTCTAACGCAGAGGATTTGTCAAACAAGAGCTGAGGCTTGTGTTCCTACAGCACGTGTGGGTTTGCTCCCACGTGTGGAAGAGGTCACAGACGTCAGAGAGGTTGGTGGCACACCGGGAAGAAGAGACACAGCATCTGGAACCACCGGCTTGGAAATCATCTTGCTCATTTTTGCAGTTACCAATACACATAGTTTTAGTCTCAAAATTTGGCCTGAGAGGCACAGACCAGAGGGAAGGAATGCAGAGGTGAGGAGGAACTTGGAGGCTCCAACTCAGGAAGGGAGCCTCAAGGGAAGGCTCCTGTAAGTGGTGCTGCTCAGCTTGCACCCACCTCTGCACGAGCACAGCAGCTCCCTGTGTGACTCCTGTCCACACAGCCCTGTTGGCTGCAAAGGCAGAACAGAGATGGAGACCATGGGCCACCAGGGACTCGCAGGACAAAGCCGTCTCCTGGCAGATGACAACCCTGAGGCAATGGGAATGCAGGATCCAGCAGTTCAAGGCTACTCCAGAGATTCAGCAGCTTCCCTGCCTGATGACAACCACCCAGAGACAGTGATGGAGCTCTTCTCATTCCCACTGAGCCTTAACTTTACCTCCTGTACAAACAGGAACACTTCTACCAAGGCAGCCACTTCAGTGCATTGTACAGAGCTCCCTGACAGAGGCACCAGGAACTCATCAAGGAGAATTATCCAGAGAAAGAAAGAAGCCAAAAGCACCCCAAAACCTTCACAAAGCCAGACATCCGCTCGGAACAGAAGCCATGAGCATTTCAGCAGCTGGAAAAGCCTGAGGATACACAGCACGGCACTGCACCCCTTCTCCCACAAGCACGTGTGCAGAGGACAGGAGGTACAGGAGGTACGTACACCCTTGCAGGGTGTGCTGGAGCTACGAGACCTCCACCCTGACTGCCTGGAGATGTCTGCGTACCCCCACTGTGCAGTGGTTATTCACCAGGACAACTGCTTGGAGGAGAATCTGGAGAGACACAGCCCACTGTGGGTCCCCGGGGTGGTAGGAGTTAGATCGAGGTTTGTCACAGACTGAAGACCTTTCTCTGAGGACCATGATCCGTGGGGCAGAATACCATGGTTTTGGCACAAACCCCAGCCGAGCACTGCCCCACACACTGAAGGGCCAAGTAGGCGCCTCCAGGCAGAGGATGTGATGTGCTATTTATCTACTCAGCTTCCCCTGCATGGAGATCTACACGGCCAGGCAGGATGGGGATTATTACAGCCATGGCTGAGCCAAGCTCACTCAGGGAACAGCCCCACTGTCACATTTGCCCGCCGAGCTGCAGCACCGAGTTGTTCCCAGACCCGAAGGTTCTGGGACTCCCCCATCTCCATTGTCTCACAGCACCTCATAGCTGACCTGCACCCCAGGCAGGAGAGATCAGGGTACCCACCTGCAACTTGGCCTTCACCTTTGACTCCACGTTTTCGTATTTCTGGGACTTCCACAGAGCTTTCACAGGCTTGGGCTGGCTGCGCTCTTGGGCTTGCTCCTTCTCTTTGCACTTCTTCTGAATCTCCTTTATTCGCCTCACATTTTCCTTCTCGTGATCCTTGGATTCTTTCCCTGCACAGCAAGGGGAGACACAGCCGTCACCCCTTGGACACTGCCACCATTGGCATCAGAGCCCACAGCTCCCTCCCCAAAGCTGGTCCAACCACCTGTAGAAGCAGCAAGCTCTGCCCCCTCCTGCAGACCAGACAATCTGTGCGTTTTTCCCATGTTAGATGCACCCTCCTGGACTGATCCAGAATATCCCACAGTGCCCAGATGCCCATCAGCACAGGTCTGTGCACATTGCTGGTGTTCATGGA